AAACACAAAATAGAAGTAGTGATCTTGAATAAGCTAAAACAGATCGCGCGCTTCTCGTTGGCCAACTTCGTGGCCCTTAACTCGTGCTGAAGTGTACTTTTAAATGGTAAATTCGCGTCTCCCAAAACACCGGATGACTTTTTTCTTCTTGGCCCAACCAGCTATCTTCCATCGGATTCTCCACAGAAGAATGCTCATGTTTCAAGGCTAGTCACGTTCTGTCACAAGTAGCACGCTCTTTATCACTTGATCCCCCACGGTTTGGTACAACTCAACAATGAAGTACTTTGTAATAAGTCTACAGTTGCAATGTAATCAAAAATGCAAAATAACTGCAAGATAACAAAAAACTATTAATTTCTTTCCTATTTACTCTTCCCTATCCCTCAACTTATGTACTAACGTAAAGCCGAGAGCGGGAGCAAATTCCAGTAGAAATGCTGGCTAGAAAAATAGGTAGAGAATGTGGAATTTCATAGAAAGCTGGCAAAACTAAGGATAAGCCAATAGACAAGGGTAAACAGTGTTGAGAGAACTGGATTTATGACAATAGCAGAAGTAGAACACAGTAATAAAAGTGCGAAACAACAATCCCGCATGGCCATGCTACGAGTGATTTCTGCTAAGGACAGGTGAGGGCAGAGCAAGTTAGTATCGAGTGGTACTGACCCAAACAACTTCTGCTTCTGCGTCGATCCGTGAAGGCGAAAATTGCGCCCCTTGCACGAAATGGCCAATAGGGGGCAGTGAGGCCGATAAACAGCCTCAGGACTTGGTCAGCAGCGACACGTTGGCAGTCAGCCAACTGGCAACGCACTTCCGGCCCAACTCTCTTATGCTAATAATAATTCTAGCATTATGTTAGCAGCTTAGAATCTGTCAAACATGTCATCCACGTTGCCAATCATTGGACGTGAAGTCCGAAGGAGGCAATTGGGGCATGTGCGTAAATTTTCCCTGTCGACGCGCGCATCTCGACTAATGCAATGTATAAACTTCAACATTTCATTCATCGAAACAATTTGAGGCTTCATTCTTGCAATGCCTGACAATGCCTTCAAATTGTTATTATTATTATTTTAATTTATAATTGCGATTAGTTGTCACTATCATGTAGGCAAAGTTTAATTTCTTTTTATGTCATATTTCATTCTTTCCGTACGCATATCAGCCTTAAAGTAGCAAATTGCAGCTATTGGGTACTCATAAGCTCTGTTGTCCTGTGGAACTGTGCCTTTGGTTTTAGTCTTTTTCGAGCCAATTTCGCAAGGGCGGTAAGTTTCATTCCTCTGCTGTAGTATGAGTAATAAGCATCATCTATTACCTTGTCCGAGATGTGATAGTCGAGAAGAACTTC